AAAACGGCTGATGTTTTATTGCAGCAAAAGGCAGTTAAGTGTAAATGGTATGTGAGCGCATTTTTTTACATCTTCAATATCGGTAACAAGCTTAGAGTAGTTCATCAACCACTGTAGCCTGACGACTTGTTGCAGTGACAAAACGGTGCTGGTCAGAACCGCTTTTAGTATGTTTTAAAGCATCTTTTGGAAAACAAAGCCATTAACAGTTTTGCCATTTTATTCAAAATAGTTATATGTGGTTTCGTATCATTGAGAGTCATACACAGAAGGGGTTCCGATTTTGACTTTGGTGCTGTTTTTACTTTTGCTTTATTAATGGTGGTCCAGCTGCTCATGGCATGTAAAAAACCTGAAGTTTGGTTATCGAGAATTTTGCAAAAGCCTTATTTTTTTGTATGCAGAAAAGAGGGTTTATGAGGATTTCAGGGAAGACGCGGAGCGGCCTCATGGAACTACCATAACATCATTCTTCAGGCCTTGTGCTAAAGGACAGACTTGCGCTCCGCCGAAAAGTCAATTTTTTCTGAACCGTTGCTTGTCAAATATTTCAAATTTTTCTGATTTTTAATTGTTCGTTTGAGAGAGTAGAAGTTTTTGCCAGTAATTTAGTTATTGAGAATATGTGTTTTATGCTGTCCAGCATCCGTTTTTCTGCGCTTTTCTGGGTTACTACGTTGCTTTCTTATGTGTTTCTCTTTTATTCTGTGTGCATTTGTTAGCTCTCATTCGCTTCCTGGTCTATGTGTTTCTTCTCAACTCATTTAAACATATTTGTCAAATTTTTAAATTTCTCAGTTTAGAATATATGGCGTTATTTCCCCATGATTTTTTGCAAAAATTTGTATTATATTTGTGTTTATGTATATGCGTCTGTTTATGCGTGTGCTTCAATTCCACATTCCGGCCTTCTTGACTTCTTCCCTGGTCTTTTCATTTTTCTTTTCCCGGGAATAGCTTTTAATCCTTAGTCTGCATCTCCATCTTTGGAGCTGACAGATTTTGCGTCGGTTAAGGCCTTCTGCTTTCCGTATTTACACCTTTCCGTACATCCATGTTAACAGATCTTCCAACGTCGTATTGGCCTTCCTGCTATTCTTTTTGTACTGGCTGGTGTGAGAGGTAATGAGTGAACAAAACGGGTTTTTAAGTAGCTTTATCTGCCGATCAGCAATGCGTTTCGTTGATTTTTGTGTCATCCTTGCCACACAATCAGTTCCGCTTCTCTTTCTGGCCTACATTCCCTTTGACATGTCTTTTACACCGAAGTGTTTCACCGTTGATCATTGGGCCAATATTAGCTAATTTTTTTGTGCGAAAGTAATGTCCCGCATTTTGCATTCACAAAATATGCATTCAGAAGGGGTGATTGTGTTCAAAATTTCTGCTTTTATTGCAAGTTGGTGCTTGTTTCCCTGAAATTTTGATATGTTTTTCAAATGCAGTTCATTTTTCTCTTCCCTTTCAGCACAGCACTGTGCAACTCTTCATTCATTCGTATCTTCCACCGCAGATCGACATATTTGTTTGCATGTTCGATTTTTTGGCCCCTAAATCACATTGTTATTTTACTTATTTCTGGTTATACGTGACTTGTATTCTCAGCAAATTTTTTGGAATAAAAGAAGATTTTTTGCTATCGCTGGTTTATTTTCTGGTTGAAGCGAATGATATTTCTATTTTTTTTTCATGGGATTAGACATATTTTTGGCGGTAAATTATGACATCTCCCTTTCCTGTTAACCGTCTGCGAATGTTAGCGCTGCAACAGGGGCATAACTAGGATGGTTTATGGAGGTTTTGCACATACTTTCCTTTTTCCGATATCTTCCGTTACCGCTATTTTCATTACTGTTATTCGAAACACTCTTTTACATTATTACAATTTAATTGCTTAGGAATTATTTATGTACTTGTTACTTCTTGCCTTTATATGTTTTTTATCCCGTTTTCAAATTTACATATCCATTTCTAGCCCTACTTTTGCTGATTTTCCATTATCAGAAGTTGTTTACTAAATATTCTTTTAAAGACTATTTCAAGACCATCTACAGACGGGGCCGAGTTATGGTGCTCAACAGTAATGTATACAACTTCAGGGACCAAAACGTTTCTGTTCAGCTGGCCCGTTTTAATTAAATGCTATCTTGTTAAATTTCAGCACTGTACTATTAAACCTTCAAATAATCTTTAAACGATTATGTCTCATATTATGAATTTGGAAGATTTTTTTTTGAATGTTTGCATGATACGAGCTGACGTGAATTAGCGTAA